TCATGTCTGTAATCCTAGCACTTTGGGAGGCTGAGGTGGGCTGATCACCTGAGGTTGGGGGTTCAAGACCAACATGGCAAAACCCCATCTCTACTAAAAATACAAAAAATTAGCCGGGTGTGGTGGTGCATGCCTGTAATCCCAGCTCCTTGGGAGGCTAAGGCAGGAGAGCCGCTTGAACCTGGGAGGCAGCGGTTGCAGTGAACCAAGATTGTGCCGCTGCACTCCAGCCTGGGTGACAGAGCGGACTCCATCTCAAAAAATAAAATAAAATAAAACAAACAAACAAAAAGAACTTGCCCAAGATTACATGGCAAGTAAGTAAAGACAACAGGATTCAAAGTCATGTCTTTATATAGTCTACTTGCCATTTAGACTGCTTGTCTCTATATTAAATGTCTCCAAACTATTACTTAATGCTCTTAGAAAATCTGTGTATGATGTTTAACATTCGGTTTTTCTCTTCTATTGTTACTCTTTGTGGTTGTAAAATCACCTACCCCCTAGACATTTCCTCCTCTTTAGCCCACATGTTGATACTGATATCCTGTCATTAAGGAAAACAAGAAGAAGTTAGTTAAAACTGTAAAAAATGAGTGTGTAGGTTCTGAGAAAGAATTTGGGGGGGATAATCTAAAGGCAAAATATATCAGCTTAGGTATTTAGCTTTTATGATATTTATTTTGGTGGTTCCATAACCTATTTTGGTAACTTCTGGCTTTTTTCTTATGTTTCGGCTATAGAATTTACTATTACGAATGGCTTCTGAAAAGGAGTTCTTACTCTTACTCCTACTTACATTGCGTAATAGAAAGTAATTTATTTTTTAAAAAGCTTTTCCCAATGTAATAAATATCCTTTCGATGTTTGATATTTCCTTTTTAAAAATATCATATTTTCATAATGTGTAATACTTTAATACATAATGTACATAATGCTTAATATTTTCATAATGTACAAAAAGAGTAAATAAAACATCTTTTGGCATTATCTGGTCCTACTTCAAGGCTATTCAAACTATAGATTACAGCAACCAATGATATCTGCCTGGAATACCCTTACAGAATGCATTATAAGCCAAAGATATATTTCCAGAAAGAGTAGGCAAGTGTTTCTGTCCTTGTGTAACATGTATGTTATAAAACTCTGAGCCTTTAACTCTCACAAAATCACACCTACCTATTTCCAATGAAGTAGAAGAGGACACTAGTTAAATAAATACAGCATCAGTATTAAAAGAAATACTTTCACAGTATCAAAAACGTTTGCTTTAAAGTGAATTACCAGTATGTTCCCCCCATACCATATATTCATCCATTTTTCTGGAAATTAAGATTTTCAATGTCAACATTTCTTAAAGATTTCTTTTTTCAATCGGGAAACAACAGATGCTGGAGAGGATGTGGAGAAATAGGAACACTTTTACACTGTTGGTGGGAATGTAAATTAATTCAACCATTGTGGAAGACAGTGTGGCGATTCCTCAAGGACCTAAAAATAGAAATCCCATTTGACCCAGCAATCCCATTACTGGGTATATATCCAAAGGATTATAAATCATTCTACTACAAGGACACGTGCACACGAATGTTCATTGCAGCACTGTTTACAACAAAGACCTGGAACCAACCCAAATGCCCAACGATGATAGACTGGATAGGGAAAATGTGGTACATATACACCATGTAATATTACGCAGCCATCAAAAACGATGAGTTCACGTCCTTTGTAGGGACATGGATGAACCTGGAAACCATCATTCTCAAAAAACTGACACAAGAGCAGAAAATCAAACACCGTATATTCTCACTCATAGGAGGGTGTTGAACAATGAGAACACATGGACACAGGGAGGGGAGCACTACACACTGGGGTCCGTTGGGGGGAAATGGGGGAGGGGCGGGGGGGGTGGGGAGGTGGGAAGAGATAGCATGGGGAGAATTGACAGATACAGGTGAGGGGACGGAAGGCAGCAAACCACACTGCCATGTGTGTACCTATGCAACAATCTTGCATGTTCATCACATGTACCCCAAAGCCAAAAATGCAATTTAAAAAAAAAAGAAAAAAAAAAAAGATTTCTTTTTTCACACTTGCGAGATTATCCTAAGAAACAGGTGAATAAAAGGAGTAAAACTGAGAGGAAACTGCTGAAAATACAAAAGGAAAAGATAAATAAAAGGTTTCTGTAAAAGATAAAGGTTTCTCTAGCAACACAGATCCCCTTAAGTCAATTGATGAATAAAAAATACAATTTTGTATGACTAAGTTTATAATTAATTTCTGTCTAAATATTCCAAGTAATTTTATTCAACCAAATCAAACTGGAGGGAAAATAAGGGAAACAATCCCAAGATTCTGTTGAACAAAACTAGAGAGCTGAACTAGCTGATGGGGGAAATACCTATTACCTTGGTCAACAATTTAGAAAAGAAACAAAGTCATAGTGTTACCTTATGTCTTTTAAAAGTGTGCTTTCCCTCCCGAAGATCTGATTAAATATAAGACCTCTCCTGGACTCCAAGTTTTGACCATTTTAACACTGACGTGATTAAAACAGCAATACTCTTAATAGCAATAAATATACTCAAATTCTGTTAGTGATTCAACTAACATTTTTTGCATCTTGCCATACTGGACCTCACAAATGTAAGATAAAGTAACTCTTGGTTTTTGTCACATAAGGAGGGGTTAGCTCCTCTCCATTTGCTTACACCTAACTTCTACTGAACACACAGTTCTGTACAACTTGACATCCCTAGAGGTGGGCCTCTATTTTCTGACCTTTGACTTTTCTAAATTTCTATTACTTTTCTCTACCATTTATTTCAGGATTACTTTATATCGTCTTAAATTTGTTGCAACTTTTTCCATGTATACATTATGTTTTATTATTCTTAAGGACTACCCACATTAACTAAGATTGACTGTATGGTGAGATTTAAGTAAATTCTTACCAATCAATTATTAATAAATTTGTTTAAAGAAGAAATTGAGAATGAGGCATTCTTTAGTTCTAATTAAATTGTGGGAAACTAGAACAATAAGCAGTGAATTGTGGAAGAAGCCCAAGCCTGAGTTTTCAGCTGTTAAACATCCCCTCAAGATAACAACAGCTGACTGGGTACGGTGGATCACGCCTATAATCCCAGCAATTTGGGAGTCCAAGGGAGGTGAATCACAAGATCAGGAGATCCAGACCACCTTAGCTAACATGGTGAAACCCCATCTCTACAAACTACAAAAAATTAGCCGGGCATGATGGCATATGCCTGTAGTCCCAGCTACTGGGGAGGCTAAGGCAGGAAAATCACTTGAACCCGGGAGGCAAAGGTTGCAGTCAGCTGAGATTGACCACTTCACTCCAGCTTGGGCGACAGAGAAAGACTCCTTCTCAAATAAAATAAAAATAACAACAGCAACTTAAAACTCAAACTTATTGCAGCTAATACAAAATAAACATCAAAAAATTGAAAACTCAACCAGAAGGCATTTAATTCTATTTTATGATAGTCCTGAAGCAGTACAAAAACATTTAAACAACACTCTGAAGATGGAATAAACGATATTTTAAGAGACAGAAATAAGAGGACTTATGAAGCAAACAGAATGAAATTAAGAATAGAGTTAAAATGGCAAGACAGCTACTGTTTTCTAGTTTTATTTTAATTTTAATTGATAAATAATTGTACATATTTATGAGGTACAAAGTGATATTTTGATACACATATACATTGTGGAATGACTAAAGAAGAGTAATTAGCATAGCCATCATCTCAAATTTTTCTTACTTCTTTGTGGTGACAATTAATAGAAAGTAAGTGTATGCCATCGAAAGTTCAAGTTACTGGTTTTCAGCTGTTACGGCTGAAAGAAAGAAGGAGGAAGGCAGGGAGTAATGGGGAAGAAGAGGGATGGGAAAGAAAATAAAAAGGGGGGCATGGGAACATGCAGTATTCTTTAAGAGTTAAGAAACAATCTGACAGGTTTATACAATTTCATTGAAACCTACAGCAAAATCATAATGGCTGAAACTTCGATCAGGCCCATAAAAACATCTGTTTTTAGTTTGCAGTGACTAAGGGTGAAATGTATCAGCTTATGGAAAATGGGGAGGGTTCCCAGCATTTGGCCAGAGTTCTAGATGATGGATGTTGGTGAGCAATTCCCTTAAACAACTGATTTATTGCCAGCGGTCAAAATGCTGGAAGTACATCCAAACACTCATCTGCAATTAAAATTACAAGCAAGTGGTCACTCTGTTCACCTTCTTTACCAGAGAGGTGACCCTGCTCCCGGCAACCACCTCCACCCAAGGGCCACAGAATAACTCCTCCTTCCTCTAACCCCCTTCCCTTGGCCTCAAACCTCACGAGAAAACCTGCCTTGCTCTGTCTCCCAATCGCTTTTAGAAAGGAAGTTGGGTGTAGAGCTCTTCTTTCTCCCTCCCTTCCTTTTTTCTTTTCTTTCCTTCCTTCCTGCCTTCTTCCATGCCTTTCTGTCTTGTCAAATTCATTACTTTGTAAGAAACATTCTCAGATCACCCCCACTACACTAGAAATCCAACGCAGGCGAGACGGAGTCAAGCGCAGGCGGCGGGCGGGTGGCCTCGGCCAGTACCATCTGGCACCTGCGATTCATCGCCACTTTCCATCCCCCCAGAGGGCAGGGGGGCAGCAGGCAAAGGACACGCGGAGCTGGTGTGTCCCCGTTCCTCTGAAACTTTCAGCTGACCGCACCCTCCCCCCCAAACTCTTTAATCATCCATCAAGCCAGAATAGTACTGTGACCTCTGCCTGGCCTTTGGAGTTTGCAAAAGAAGCAAGCAATGAAAGGGAAGACCAGGTTCGCCCCTTTGCTTCCTCCACCGCCCAAGAGCAGCGCGCAGCGCGGCGGTGCGGCCGGAAGGGGCCGCTGTTCGCTCAGTGCAGCCGCCGCGCCCGCACCTCCCACGGCGGGGCTGGCCCAGCCCGGCCAAGTTCCAACAGCCCCCAGTCGAGCGAGCGCCGGGAACGAGCACCGCCCGGGCTGGAGCGGACGGCGTTAGAAGAGCCCCGCAGCGGCGCGCGTCGGAGAGGCTCCTGAGAAACTCCCACGGCCCAGGGACTTTGGAAAGCAGAGCGAGGAGCCCTCGCGCGCGCAAGTCTGCCAGTGAGCGCTCAGCCCGGCACCTGTTCCTCCAGCGCCGCCGCCTTCTCACCCCTCGGACCCCCGGCTCCCGCCCGATCCTGCGATGAATCTGGCCCTGGGCAACCAGACCGACGTGGCGGGCCTGTTCCTGGCCAACAGCAGCGAGGCGCTGGAGCGCGCCATGCGCTGCTGCACCCAGGCGTCCGTGGTGACCGACGACGGCTTCGCCGAGGGAGGCCCGGACGAGCGCAGCCTGTACATCATGCGCGTGGTGCAGATCGCCGTCATGTGCGTGCTGTCGCTCACCGTGGTCTTCGGCATCTTCTTCCTCGGCTGCAATCTGCTCATCAAGTCCGAGGGCATGATCAACTTCCTCGTGAAGGACCGGAGACCGTCTAAGGAGGTGGAGGCGGTGGTCGTGGGGCCCTACTGACCCGCCCTCCGCCCCCGCCACAACTGCTCCCACGCCTGCCCACTTTACCAGCCCGGCTGTGCCCCTCACCATCAGAGACTGGGCGAAGCAAACCTGTCGGAGTCGATTATTTCCCTTGACTTCCGCGTTTCTGAGAGAAGCGACCGGTTTCTCCCTCGCCCTCTGAAAGTCCTCGTGCCTGGCTGTCTAAGGAGAGCGCCCAGACTTCTGGACTCAGCAGAAAGTGACAAGAAGAGGGTGATGAGGGCGCAGAACTTTGGAAGCTGCTACTTGCTTGGAATGCGGGGAGACCGACGGGGCCAAGGCCCTTTTCCACCCGCAGGTGGGCCAAGCTCTGGGGGCAGGTGGAGAGGGCGGGCAGGGGAGAGACCAGCGGCACTGATCGCCCTGTGACCGGAAAAGTGACCTGTTAAAAACCACGCAGCAGACATGAAGGGGTCGCACAAATCCGTGTCCCGATGCGCTCTCACTCTTCTCCAGCCCTGGAGGAGAGAGGCGATAAATACCTTTGATTGTAACGTGCCGTTTTAAAAGGTTTTGTGTTTGTTTGCTTGAACACAAATATTTGATGAGTCTTTTTCTGCCCCCGTGGCCTGTTTGCCTGCCTAAGGGGTTAGAGTTTTGTCATTGTGGGAGAAGGGGTGGGGGGAGGGGGAGCCTGCGAATTTGAACGGGGTGCGTTGTTTCTTTTAGTGCATTTCCCACTGGGTCTTTTGGGAGGTGCCTGGCGTTCCTGCTGGCCCTGGGACAAAGACCCAGAATAGAACTCGTAGCTCGTGACTGCACGGTTTACGCCACAAAAGTGCTCTTGACATCCGTGACACCATTTTGACTTTTTGTTTTTTTCTTATTTAACATTTCCTTAATAAATGCAACATTTAAGCGTTTGGTTCCTGGCTTCCTGGTGGTCATTCTGCGCTCCCCAGCAGGGGGAACCGGGCGGCGGTGAGGAGTCTGGCTGTCGCCCAAGGCAGTTCGCCTTGGAGAGCTGCGATTCAACTTGTGGATCCCGTGGAGGGGCGAAGGTCTGGGCCAGACGGAGAGGCCTGGGGATGAGTGAGACAGACCCCAGCCTCAGGCACAGGAGCCGTCCTGGAAGCAGCATCCTTTGTTTTCTCTTATCGTTAATATTTTATATTTCATTTAGTCTCAGCTCTCAGGTAGGCTAGACGACAGGAGGGCCCCCGCGGGAATATTACACTTCGTGCCAGGCTCCGGCGGGAACACAGGATTACACCGCTAATGAAAGGAAAAGACGGCTTGGCCAGGCTTTAGGGAAGGCGTCTCTACCATAAAGAAACGCAGCTAGGCGGCTCTGGGATGCTGCCCATGGTGGGGGAGAAATTATAAAATGCGAGGAAAAGTAGCTGCTAAGGCACACAGTGACGTCAGTGATGTTAATACTCCCTGGGGTAAACCGTTGTTACTAAAACATGAGATGCATTATTATCGTTGCCCTATTACTTTTTCTAACAAAAAGACCAGATTAAAAGATTCAGTCTGCTCTTTGTAATTGAGTCTGCCCTAGACCAGGCAAAGGGCTCAGAGGAGTTAGCCGAGGTCCTGAATGTGGGAGATGAGTATTAACAACCGCAACTGGGAAGGATGGTTGGAGTAGAGCTACGGATGGCCGTTGACACATTTAAGGCTCAGAAATTCAACAGTGTTAGAAAGAAACGCCTAAAAAATCGTACCTGTGAAAATAACCCAAAGGATACAATAGCTTAGAGCATAAACTTGACAAAAGGTTTTGAATAGTTTATTTTTATGCCTGGGATAGGATTCTAAATATTTTCAAGACTATAAAGAATCGACTAAGATGCTATAGCAATTAAAATTTCAAAGCCTTCACAATGGCAGCTTTAAGAGTAACTAAAATCAAATAACAATAAAGTGTTCCATTTACTCAGAAAGAAACACAACTGGTGGAAACACTGTTAATGGCTCAAAAACTGGGATCAAAAGTTTTGAGTGCCTTTAATGTCATATCCACTATTAGGTGTCCATTTTACTCTCAAGTAAACCTTGCCAGAAATTACAATCTAGGATGGCTTCTTTTTTTTTTTTAATGCTAATGGGTATCAGGATTGAGAAAAAAGAATGTTGAAGTTTTGCTGGTTGTTCCTGTCTTTAAAACAGAAAACGGTTTGCTTGTTGGTTGTTTTGGTATCTGGTCAGGGGGCAGGGTCAAGAGATAGTCAATAGGTAGTCAGCAGGAGTCTTGAAAGGCAGTTTACTTTTGTTAACTGATAGGACAAGAAATGGCAATGTCTTATTTTGTAGACAGTTTCTGTGGCACCAAGTAAATCTGCTGCCTCCATGTTTCAAAGGGAGAGACAAAGCAGAGCAAGGGATTCTCTGGGACAAAGCAGACGATTAAAATTTAACTCAGGCTGTGTCTGCAACATCCTCTGAGGGCCCCTTCTTCTGGAAGATTTATTAGCTCACCAGTGAATTCAGTACTCTGGTAGAATTCGATTTAGGGTTTAAAAAAAAAGCAAATCAGGTAGAGTGTAGGAATCTTGCATTGTACTCTGCTGTGTACAGGCACATGCTTTGAGTTTCAGACACAGGGAGGCTGGAAGAGGGTTCAAACCTACAGGCCAATTTTAAATTGTATAGAACACATGTTTTCATTTAAAACAAAAGTCCTGAAAGTTGAGAGAGGAGCTTTCCCAAGGTTGAGGACCTCTGTCTTCTCTATCTTGTTTCAATTCATATTTATTCACACCTCTTTCCTCTTCCCTGAACCTCAAAAGCAAAATCTACAGTTTCTCTTTATCTCAATTAGCTGTATTTATTCTCTTACCCCCAGAAATTGTGATCATGAAACAAACCAGAGCCTGCAAAATGTAGGTAGAAAAGGTAGATGAATACAGCTTTGTAATCTATGATCTATGCACTATAGGGAAATGCACAGTCTGCAGTGCACATAGCCCTGGAGACTATTTCCTGCCAACAACCCTTCTCTCCAGCCCTTAGATCCATTTGTTACTTAGAGAGATGCCAAGTGTTTCTGGTTTTTCTAGATGAGGCAATCTGTGCAAGAAGCTTTTTACACTCTCTATTCCCCGATGGCCACAGAGCAACCACTTTCTGGGGCCACACCACTCCCTCTCTCACTCTGCCTTTGACTCTCTTTGTCCCTCATTCTAAAAACTGCTTTAAATGAAACATTTTAATTCTGCTCAGAATTTATGGAGTGTCGGTCCTTTCCCACAGACATTCTCTAAGAAAAATAGGTTCTGAAAGCCACTCTCTGTGTTTCACCTAAGAAAACAATGTCAGCCTTAAAAGACCAGAAGTTTAGATAAATAACCAAACAGGCAGGTTCTACCATACCACACTGAAGTATTGGTCAGTAATTAGTGGGAGGTCCTGAGAGAGAGAGAGAGAGAGAGAGAGAGAGAGAGAGAGAGAGAAAGAGACAGAGAGAGACAGAGAGAGAGACAGAGAGAGAGACCTGTAAAAGCTTGCTTAATATGGCATGGCCCAGGGTGACTTATCTAATATTTCCTGAAACCCTTCTGGAAATATAGCAAATACAGGGAGAAGTTTCCATGAGACACAGCTGGTGGATTAATGGGATCTCAGGCTAGGCAGACAGCTAGTGATAGCTTAATTGGGTGTCCTCTGTATAAGTAGCTTAACCAATTGTTGATAAGTCTTTTTTTTTTCTTAAGATTGTTGATACACATATCCTTACTCTCTCTGAAAATGTAGCAAGAGCTTGAATGCTGGACACCTTGAGGGAACCAAAAGCAGAGGTCATACTGCTCTGTCAAATCTGAGATCACACTAGCTCCTGATAGATGGTCCATGATTTCTGATTTCCAAGCCATCCTGGCTTCTCATTGGATCCAAGCCACTCCTGCTACTGTGTCTTGTTATACTAACTCTGAATTAGGAAGGGAAAGACACACTGGGCTGAGATTTTGGAAATTCTGTTTTGGTCACTAAGCAGCTGAAAGGCCTGATCCCTAAAATAAAGAAGATGGGTTCTAAAGAAACTTCCAATTCTATGATTCCATTAAATTAATTGATTGAACATTTTTTTCTCTCTTAAGATGTTTCATAGATCTCTCTGTTATGCCTTAAAAAATGTATATTTTATCTTTCCAGTCTTGATCTTCTGTGTAGATGTTTTTCTCACAAAAGTCAAGTGGTCCTCTACTGGAGGTAAGTTATCTACAATAATTAAAGCAAAATTTCAGACACCTAGCCAAGTCGGAGTAGACGGTAGTTTTCAACCTGATAGATTATGTATGATCTCACCAGCCCCTTAAATCTCCAGATCTCTGTGCTCTCAAAGGATGAGGTCATGAATGCAAAGCCCATTGAACTGGCGAGTTAACAATTCTTCTAGGAACACATTCACAGTAATAAGCACTGTTGTTCATAGAAACTACTAGGGTGTTTGAAGACTCATTAACAGGCACTTTTTCTCCCTAAAGCATTTTTTCTTTTGAGTTTCTGCAACAGCACACAGCAGCTGCTGCACGTGCAGTTTAGAGCCTTCCTTAACCCCGGCTCATTCTACTTGTCACTTTGGGGGTTACAATAACAGGAAAGGATTCCAGGGTTCAGTTTGTTCCGTCAAACTCAAACTGAGTTTGAAAGCCTGTTGAAGCAGCAAGTCTACAGCAATCCTTCCAATAGGAATCAATAAATCTTTTTCCTCCCTGTCAAATCTCATGTAGACCTGTGCACAATAGCTCAAATGGGATATGTTTCAAAAGCAGCTGCCTCAGTAGTAATTGTTTCTAATGTTTGAATGTAAATGCTTAATAGTAAGTTGTTAACATGGCCAATCTCACTTTGTTCTCTTTCTCTGATATTTTTGTGTTGTTTTAAATGTTTAAAAGACTTGAAAGTCCAGGATTAACTTTCAGAAAAATTGATTATATGAGAATTATATGATATTATCAGTCATATGTCATTTATGGTTATCATAACATAGTTTGAATTTATGTGTATATATCTTATTTTTTATTATCTTTGTTATATTTGAGAAGCTTAAAACATTCCAGAGCTCCTATAAGGACTGTTGTAAGGATAACTACATGTATTTCTAAATAATCTTCAGTTAAATTGCAAACAGTGGCTTGCTTCTGACCTAAGTAGCGATATACAGTAAGAATAAACAAAGCTTATTTTAATTTATTTAACTATGTATATTTTGAAGGGATAATGGATAGTTTTCTTTTCTAAATATATTTAAGGGCATGCTTGCTGAAGCATTTTTGAGTGGGTAAATGCAGGCATAGAATGATCAATACTAAAAAGGTCAAGTCATCTGTGATAATGCTGGAACAAATTCTGCCCCACCCCATTTTAAAATGGGTTTCCGTTTGATAGTAATATTTTATGAACTCATAATTCAAAGAGTCATATGGTATTTTTCAAGCACCCATGTATAGATTGTTCATTACTACTTATTACTGAATAAAATGAGATGATTCCTTTCCATCTGAACCATAAAACACTGGCACATATGTAAGGGAAGTTATATAATCTACCCACAAGAGTAAGATAAGAAATTGTTCTTATTATTTCTAGAATTTATAGTAATACAAATATACACATATAATTATGCCATAGCCTACATGTTGGTATATTTTATTACAGAAAGATAAGATTATAGTTTTTCTCATTTTTTAAATATTTGCTTTCTCCCCTCACCAATTGCTCTCTCATTATACACTCCTTCCCACACCCACATCTAAAGATATACTGCCCTGAAAGAGTCATTGATTTTTATCAGACCAAGACTCCAGATGTCTGATTGCTTTGGAAAAAGAATCCCTCTGGGATCCAGAGTGTCTCTTTTGCTTTATTTATTATCCTATAAATTGAGCAGCATCATGTAGTTCATCTTCTAAGTAGTA